TCCTATTCCTATAAAAAAAAAGAATTAGACTTCAATTTTCACATGTTTTAGAAAATTATTTTCATTTTGACTTTCTTATGGACTATTGATTCTTGGTCTGTACATGTTATGACACCTCATTGTTAAGAAATATTGAAAGAAAGATCACGAATACTGTTGAGATAAAAGATTAAAAAAATATTACTTGTTCGTCAGCATCAGTTGTAATTAAGAGTGTTGTGCAGCATTGTTTTGAAAGCCGGACCGGACCTGCCAGTTCAATCGGGAACCGCTGCCTAGTCCGGTTTAATCTACACCCGGTTGAACCGCTATTAGTGAACCGGCCGGAACCGCTGAACCGTTCAAACCGGACCGGCTGAAAACTGGAAAAAACTAAAAAAAATTTAAACCAAACGACGTCGTTTGTTAAACGAGCCAAGTCGAACTCGAGTATTGCTGAGCTCGACTCGAACTTAAAAACTTTAAAAGTAAGCTCAACTCGACTTAAACTCACGAGCTAAAAATTATCAAGTTCAACTCGAACTCGAAATATAATATTGAAACTTGAACTCGAAAAGGCTTGAACTCAAAAAAAATTTAGAAACTCAATTGAAGCCTAAAATTCGAGCTTGATTGAAGTGAAAGAATAGTTTACTCAGTGCTCAATGCTCACCAAAAGGCTCTATGATTTTGAATGCCAAATTACCTCTATTATTTATAGAAATTAGTTGGGATGCTCTTCTATGTTTCTTAGCCATGTGAGATTGTTTTGTTCTCATATTTTTACTCTTTAGACTTTTGGGATGCTCTTCTATGTTTCTTAGCCATGTGAGATTGTTTTTAAAAAAAAATTAAACCAAACAATATTATTTTGTTATGATTTTTTTATCCCCAAATTTATTTTCTAATTATAGTTATATAATTATATTTATTATTTAATATGTTTTACCTTAATTATTATGTTGTAGTTAATTTGAATCATTTTGTTTCACTTGATTTTATGGTTTTTAACTTATATATGTTATGACTTGATTTGAATATGACTTGTAATATAAAAAATTATTTTTTATTAAATATTTTTGGTATTTTTATTTAATTTTTTAAATAATTATGACGTCGTTCGGTTCTTCCGACCGGTCGGACCGGTTAAACCAGTGAACCGGTAGCATGACCGGTTCGCTAACCGATCCGGTTCTGAAAACCATGTTGTGCAGTCTGTAAAATTTCTTGCTGAACTGTGGAGTTATTGTGAATATTGATGATAAAAAAAGCGTGATTTGAGGAGCATTTATTTCCCTTTAATGGGCTTTTTAAGCCTAATTTAATTCTCTTGTATTTGTCGTAAATGTTTGCAACTACTATCGATGGTGATGTTTGTTATGGTATATATTACTCGTACACGGATGTGAGTGTCGAGTATGGATACGTGTGCCGCATGAAAAAGTTCATTTTTCCATAGATTTTCCGTGCATCTGGAGGGTTTGGTTGATTATATACCCGTATGCTCGAAAATGCTTTTGAGTTGCCACAGGCATGACATAAGTAACTTCAAGAAATAGTGTGGAAGTAGCATAGATCATTATAGTTTCTTTTTCATGATATTTTTATATGGTTTTGCTAATGTATGCCCTTCAGGGCACTCTCTAAAGCGTGCAATTAATATATTATTGATAATGATAGCATTATATGAAATGCAGTAGTCGATAAATTTATCCTTTAAAGAGTGCCCTCAGGGTACTCATTAGCAAAATTAGTTGTAAACTTAACATTACACATTTTAAGGTTCCATGTTATCTTGGGCATAAAGTTTACATTTCTTTCTTTTGTGTCCCTTTCTTGGGATGCTTGTAAGCTGTGAAGCAACAAAAACCTTGACTAATCTCGAGCATTTTTACCATTATTTTTCAGGAACTTGGACTGGGGCCATCCGTGCCTGTTCATGCTGTTCTTCATGACTGGGTCAGGCATACCGATGGGAAGCTAAGTTTTCTCGGATTTGTCAAATTGTTGCACGGTGTACCTAGCAGAAGCCTCACAAAAGCTCAATAGAAACTGTAAAACTTGCATAAGAGCTCCAAGAATTACATCTTTCCTGAGCTGGTTTGCCTAATAATCGGGTGAGGTCTTTTCTAGGTAGCACGAGTCTGATAAGTGGTAGAGTGAATTTTTCCATCTCAATCACCGCATCCCATTCCAAAGCGCTTCGCTTATGGATTATTTCCATTTGTATGGCACAGGCTTTTTTTTTTTAAAAAAATGAATGGATGAAAAACACATGATTGAAGCCACGAGCCTCATGCAAGTGCAACTTAACATTGAAAATGCTTTCATTTTTATGTTTTTTTTCCCACTGTAAAGTTGTAGTTCAAATAAGAATTTGTTCATATATATATATATATATATATATATATATATATATATATATATATCTAACTGGTTATAAGAGAGTTGAAAAATCTGACTTAGTTGGTGTAGCCCTCGTGAGACGATTGCTGTTGTATCATCAGCTCCTCTTCTGTGTTCTATAATTTGTGATGGAAAGTAAGAACTGGGAGAGGGGGAAGGAAGAAGCAGGGCGCTATAATTTGTGATGGAAAGTGTTCTTGCGTATTTCCACTTGCCACTCTCTTGGACACTGTTCTGTTATTGAAAATCGTTCGCTTTTACTAAATTATTATAATTTGTTCAATATATATATGCAGATGGTGTTTGTAAATTAAGGAGATGTTGTTTTGCTTACTGAGAAGGTTTATAGGAAGTAATTCCTTATTCGAACAGTAGTTTTCATTTGTTGGGGTTTGGATTTTGAAACAGGTTGGATAAAATATCAAGGCATTGGGGAAGAGAAATAGTGCAGGCAGGAAGGGTTAAAGCCAAACAGCAGCATACTTTTACGGTCCTTCCAAGTTCTAACGGCACTAGGTGGTGCCTATATTTGGGTTCCTTGAACAACCCTTGATGACAGTACCTTCCATTTTCTGCATTTTTTCTTTTCACTGAGCCGTTTGCACACTTGATGGCAGTATGTATTATACACAGGCAAGTATTTGGCTGGAGATCGTCATTTCGTGTTAAACCAATGATAAACTTGGTTTGTTTATTCAGTTACTCATTTTTTTGGGGTCTATATCAGCGTTGGGATGAAAGAAAAAGTGTATTTGCAGGCGAGGAAAAGCTGCAAGACTGAAAATAAAAGCAAGGAAAAGAATGAGGAACTGGTCTCCTGGTGTTGGTACGTGAATTCCATTTCTCTCGACTATGGAGTTACTGGGCTACAGCTAAAATACGCAAAACCATTCGATTCAATCAAGACCATCGAACAAGGGAAGCAAATTAACCTGAGAGTGGAAAGACTGGTAAGGCACAAAGAAAAGCCTCTATTCCAAGGTTTGGGAATGCAGGTAACAATTACCAAGTGTCTTCCCCGGTTGTACAAGTGAAAAAAGAAGCAAGAGTCACGGTATCAGGGAATCAACATTCACAATTTGATCCAATACATGAAAAAAGAAGCTAGTCATATCCTGGATTATGCAATACATGAAGCGATTTGATCCAATTTGCCGATACCACGAATGTTGACAGGCTCTTATTAAATCACTTACCTTGTTAATTTATTAAATTTTGGGTAAATTATAATTTTCATCGTTGAACTTTACCCTTTCTCCTATTTTGTTCATTGAACTTTAAAATTTTTTATTTTTCTTATTGAACTTAACATATTGGGTTTTTTTTGTCACTGAATTATATTCTCTCTCCTATTTTGGTCATTTCACCGTTAAATAGTTAAAGACGTTAAAAACGATGTCATTTTAGAAAAAAAAATTTCACTAAAACAATATCGTTTTTGCATATATATAACAATTGATTTTAATGCCGTTAACTAGCTAACGGTTGAGTGAACAAAAAAATCCAATGTGCTAAGTTCAGTAGGGAATGATTAATTTGGCCATCGATCGAACTAAATTTTCATTAACCAAATCGGTTTTTTTTTAAATATTAATTGAATCGAATAAAATTCGGTTATTTCAGTCCGTTAATTGAATTAACCAAAAAATTTTATAATTTTATAATTAGTTTAATTTGAATATAAGATAATTATTATTTTTATTTAGGTTAAAATTTAATTAGGTATTAATAATTTAATGAGTCTAGTGTGGTTAAAAAATAATTTGATTTTAATTCTTAATAGGTTTGAGCTTAAAATATGTATTTAATATATAATATATTTAATATTTAATAATTTTGGTTAATTAACCGATTTCGAACCGAATTAACCTTTAACTAAATATTAAAAAATATATTAATCGTTCTCTGATCGAACTAATTTGGTGGTCTATCGAATTAACCAAAATAATTCGGTTCTGTTGGTTAATTTGGTTAAAACCGAAAAACAAACACCCTAAAGTTCAATGAGAAAATTGAAAAAGATTTAAAGTATAGTGATTGAAATAGGAGAGAGTAAAGTTAAGTTACCTAATTTATAATTTACCCTTAAATTTTAACCTTAAACAAAAGGAGTTAATTTTTAATTTGACACTTAATCTTTGTCTAGAATACTAATTTAACCATTTTCTTTTGATAAAAATATAATTTTAACCCTTAAATTTTAGATAAAATTTCAATTTGATTCTAAACTCAATCAAACTCTCCCGTCGGTGGCCACCATTAACCATCGTCATTGTCGATTGGCATTGAATTTTACCGACATCAATTATTAGATCCCAAAATTTTAAGTGAACTCATTTTTAACATCTTGAATACAAATATGATGTATATTTCATCAAAAAATACCTCGAACTCAACTAATATAGCTTAGAATCATTCGACCTTGAAAACAAAACTATAATAATAAATTTCTCACTAATATTTATTTGAAAATAAAGACAAAAAATCTAAATTTATATCATAATCAAATATATACTTTTTTATTTATAATATTGTTATGCATATTTCTTAATGTTTGACCTTAACCCATTTTATTTCATTCGTAATGCCATTCCCTGCTTATAATCTCTTATCGCCCTCTTTCTGCCCTTCTTCTTCCCTCCTAGGCTTCCACCTGTTCTTCACAATTTTATGTATACCATATTAGAGAAGCATATTTACAGTGCCCCAAATTATTCTCCCTTTACATGTTTTTATGAATAAGATTCTTTTTTTTCTTTGGTATGGCCAAGTCAATAATAAGAAACCTGATTTGAGCTTACAGTCGTAAATTTCTCTTTTCCGTTGGAGTTCAATCAAATGGCTAATAAGAAAGACAAAGGCGAAGGGAACGTTTCGGACGATAATGATGGGACCGAGAGCGACGAGGCTCTCTGCAACCGAGTCATTAATATTCTCAAAGGTTCTTTTTCTGTTCTCGGAGTTCTTTTTTGTTTTGAAAATAGAAGATTGAATCTGCACCAAGAAAATGACCATACAATTATTGATCCTTGTTTTCCATAGGAGGTGACTTAGACAGCTTGAGCTTGAAAGAACTCAAAGCTTATTTGAGAAACCATGGCCTCCGTATCACAGGCACTAAGGCAGTGTGTCAACAGAGAATTCTTGAACATTGGGAGAGCGACGAATCTGTCAGCAATCGAATCATTTCCATTCTCAAAGGTCATCGTTCTCTTCTTAGAATTCAGTTTTTTCTTCTAAAAATAGAAGATTGATTTTGATTAAAAAAATGCCTTTTTTCTGATCCTTGTGCTCCATAGAAGGTGGAGACTTAGAAAGCTTAAGCCTGAAAGAACTCAAAACTTATTTGAGAAACCATGGCCTCCGTATCACAGGCACCAAGGCAGTGTGCATACAGAGAATTCTTGAGCATTGGAGGTATTTAAGTTCCTATTTCAATTTCCACTAATTAGTTTTTCCCCTTTTAAGTTTGATTTTATTTTCATATCATCGGTAGAGAAGAAACTGAGGAAGAACAGAAAGAGGAAGACAAAGGGAGCAATTCGGACTATAATGATGGGATTGAGGACGATGAATCTCTTTGCAATCGGGTCATTGCTATTCTCAAAGGCAAATTATCTTCTTAGAATTCAGTTTTTTGTTTTGAAATTAGAAGATTGAATTTGATCCGGAAAAAACGGCCTTACAATTTTTTATCCTTGTGTTGCACAGAAGGAGGTGACCTGGAAAGCATGAGCTTGAAAGAACACAAAGCTTATTTGAGAAACCATGGCCTCCGTATCACAGGCACTAAGGCAGTGTGTCAACAGAGAATTCATGAGCATTGGAGGTATTTTATTTCCTAATTCAATTTCAATTATTTCAGTTTTCCCCCTTTATGTCTGATTTAATTTTCATATCATCAGTGGAGTTCAAAATGAGGAAGAAGAGAAAGAGGAAGGGAACAATGATCAGACCAAGAACGACGAATCTCTCTGCAATCGAGTCGTTGCTATTCTCAAAGGTCATTTTTCTCTTCTTAAAATTCATTTTTTGTTCTGAAAATAGAAGATTGAATTTGATCCGATAAAATACCGTTACAATTTATCATCCTTGTGTTCCATAGAAGGAGGTGACTTAGAAAGCTTAAGCATGAAAGAACTCAAAGCTTATTTGAGAAACCATGGCCTCCGTATCACAGGCACTAAGGCAGTGTGTCAACAGAGAATTCATGAGCATTGGAGGTATTTTATTTCCTAATTCAATTTCAATTATTTCAGTTTTCCCCCTTTATGTCTGATTTAATTTTCATATCATCAGTGGAGTTCAAAATGAGGAAGAAGAGAAAGAGGAAGGGAACAATGATCAGACCAAGAACGACGAATCTCTCTGCAATCGAGTCGTTGCTATTCTCAAAGGTCATTTTTCTCTTCTTAAAATTCATTTTTTGTTCTGAAAATAGAAGATTGAAATTTGATCTGATAAAATAACGTTACAATTTATCATCCTTGTGTTCCATAGAAGGAGGTGACTTAGAAAGCTTAAGCATGAAAGAACTCAAAGCTTATTTGAGAAATCATGGCCTTCGTATCACAGGCAGTAAGGCAATGTGTCAACAGAGAATTCTTGAGCATTGGAGGTATTTACATTCCTATTTCTATTTCAATTATTCCCCCCCCCCCTCCCCAATTTTGATTAATTTTGATATCATCAGTGGAGATGAAACTGGGGAAGAAGAGGAAGAGGAAAGGAACAATGTGAACTATAATGACCGGACTGAGAACGATGATTCTCTCTGCAATCAAGTCATTGCAATTCTCAAAGGTCATCTTTCTCTTCGTAGAATTCATTTTTTGTTTGAAAATAGAAGATTGAATTTGATCCCAAAAAATGCCCTTACAATATATGTTTCTGTTGTTCCATAGAAGGGGGTGACTTTGAAAGCTTAAGCTTGAAAGAACTGAAAGCTTATTTGAGAAATCATGGCCTCCTTATCACAGGCACTAAGGCAGTGTGCCAACAAAGAATTCTTGAGCATTGGAGGTAATTTCATCATATTTTTAGATTTTATTCAGTCCTGTTTTGACCATTTCCCCCACATTGGTCCCTAAGATTTTTTTAAACCACATTAGTCCCTGAATTTGTATTTTGTAACACAAGTTAATCCTTCCTCTCAACACTGTTAGTTTCTAATTTGTTGGTCCACATTAGTCCCTGGATTTGTTTATTTTGGGTCCAAATTAGTCCTTGAATTTGTTTATTTTGGGTCCAAATTAGTCCTTGAATTTGTTTATTTTGGTCCGCATTAGTTTTTTTTTTTTTTTGTTCATAGGTTTTCCGGTTATGAACAACCAACTTTATGATGTCGTAACTCCACAATACAGTGTCATAATAAGTCAGCACAAGTTTGATATGTGAATTTCAATTTGGTACTAATGGATATTAGAACTCTATGTGCTTAGAGAACTGAAGTCTCAAAGTGTGCCACTTGAAACTAGAAATCCAAAAATCTAGGTATGGCAGTTTCGAGTAGCTAACTTTTGACCTTCGTAAATAACATCTCTAACATCCATAATTCCGTTATTGCACTTCTAATTTGAAGTTCGATATGGAAACTTCACTTGGGTATAAATTTCATATCTAGATTCTATGTATATTGCAAGTTATAAGTTCTCAAAATATGCTAGCCGAAACTGCCATACCCAGATTACTGAGTATCCGGTTTCAAGTAACACACTTTGATATTTTTGTTCTCTTAACACATAAAGTTATATTTTGAACCATCTGTACCAAATTGAAGTTCACACATTATACTACAAACATCGTATGGTGGAGTTTTGGAACCCTAAATTTGGTTGTTCAAAACAGAAAAGCCCATGAACAAAAATGCCTAGGGACCAATGTGGGAAAAAAATAAGCAAATTCAGGAACTAATGTGAGTAAAATGCTATAAACCAATGGTCTTAATAGGAAGGACCAACTTGTTACAGAATACAAATTCAGGGACTAATGTGTTCCAAAAAGAAACTCAAGGACCAAGGTGGGAGAAGTGGTCAAATTTGGGGATTAATCATGCTTTATCCCTTTTCTTTTGATTTTATGTTTCCAGTTGCAGTAAATCTCTTAAAGCCTTGAAATATCAGTGTTAGTATCGTGGATTAACAACAATACATTCTCTTTGTACTTTTATCAGAATAAAAGATGGGAATGCTGAAGCCTTATATCCCAAGTCATCCTTTTTCATAGATTGTTCTGGTAAAATTGTTTTTTCTTCACTTCTTTTTCTCTTTTAAGTTGATGTTTCGGCTATTTGAGTGATAATTTGTAGTTATTGTCTCTTCATGATGCAGGTGATGTTTGTAAAGGAGATGTTGTTTTGTTTACTCAGAAGCTTTATAAGAAGTAATCCCTTATCCAAGCTAACGTCGCAATCTCTTTCATTGCAGATACTCTATATTTTATCCATTTCTTATCGTACATTTCCTTGTCATTTTTGGGCTATGTAAACCAAGGGTTGGATTTTGAAACAGGTCCGATATGACTAGGCGGCATGTGAGACTTCTGGAGAAGAGAACTATTGCAGGAAGGGTTGTTAAGGAAAGCTATGGCAAAGCTAAACAACAACATACATTTACGGTAATTCCAACACTATCTTATGTCAGGTAGATAAAAGTAACTGGAACATGCTTTTTTGTATCCAGCACAAAAATATGTTAAAAAATGGTTGATTTTAGCAAGCTGATTGATACTTAGCGATAAATTACTACTATTCCTATGATGCATTTTCTGTCATTACTCTTCCCTTTTTCCAATAATTTGTTTACGTATTTGATGACTGTATTTACCCGTTCCATGTTTTTGATGCATTAGGTTGAAGTATTATGGAGCAAGGGGACTAAGAAATTTCCCCCATTATTTCCTTTGCTCGTAAAGGGTCGTAACCTTTATAAATCGAGAACTTGCAGACAGGTAAGTATTTGGCTGAAAAATCAACATTTTTAGGTAATACCAATGGTAGACTTGGTTTGTTCATACAATTTTTTTCTACATCAGCGTTGGTGTGATGAGGCTGAAAGAAGAAATGTACTTGCTGAGAAGCACAAACGAGGCAATGCTGCAAGACTGGTAAAAGAAATAGAAAGAATAAGGGTCCTAAAGGGTCGTAACCTTTACAAATCAAGAACTTACAGACAGGTAAGTATTTGATTGAAAAGTCTATATTTTAGGTAATACCAATGATAGACTAGGTTTGTTTATACAATTTTTTTTCTACTTCAGCTTTGGTGTGATGAGGCTGAAAGAAGAAATGTATGTCCTGGGAAGCGCAAACGAGAGGCTGAAATAAGCAATGTTCGTCCTGGGAAGCGCAAACGAGAGGCTGAAAGAAGAAATGTTTGTCTTGGGAAGCGCAAACGAGAGACTGAAATAAGAAATGTAGGACCTGGGAAGCGCAAACGAGAGGCTGAAAGAAGAAATGTATGTCTTGAGAAGCGCAAACGACACGCTGCAAGACTGGTAAAAGAAATAGAAAGAAAAAGGAAGTGGTCTGCTGATGTTGGTATGTAGGAGAGAGATGGTGAAAAGTTTCTGAAATCCCATTTCTCTGAACTGTTGAGCTACTGAAATTTTACATCACGTTCTTTTATAATTAGGTACAAAACACCCAAGGCATTCACATCAATCAAGACCATTGAAAAACAGAGAAGCAACTGAACCTGAGAGGGGAAGGATTGACGTGACACACACAAAAGAACTTACTCCAAGGTTATGGTATACACATAATGTTTACCAAGTGTCTTCTCCAGTTGGACAACTGAAAAAGAAGCAAAAGTCAAGGTTAGTAACGGGACCAGCAGTGCCTATTTGTAATCATTGTGGTAGGAAGCATTCAGGAGCATGTAGGAGGCTTTTAGGATGTTGTTTCAGGTGCGGTTCCAAAGACCATTTCCTTAGATGCTGTCCTGGGAAGCTGAGTGCTACCTCTGTACCATCCGAGGGGCTGAGTGATACCTCTATGCCGTCTGAGAGGCCTACTTCAAATACTAAGCAATATGGTGATATATGTATGTAAGAGAGTGAGATGGTGAAAGCAAACTATGTTTCTGTAAAGTCCATTTCTTTCGACTCTTAAGCTACTGGAATATTACGTCACGTGTTTCTTCTTTTATTATTAGGTACGGGGGCTACCTGTGTACTGTCTGTGAGGCCTATTCAAAGAACTCGGCAAGAGGGTGATGTTGGTATGTTAGAGAGCAAGATGGTGCAAGCAAACTATGTTTCTGTGAATTCCCTTTCTTTTGACTATTGAGCTAATGGAATTTTACATCACATGTTTCTTCTTTTATAATTAGGTACAAGTGCTGCCTCTGTACTGTCTGAGAGGCTGAGTGCTATGTATGTACCATCTGAGAGGCCGAGTACTACGTATGTACCATCTGTGAGGCCCACTCCAACAACTCAGAAAGATGGTGATGTTGGTATGTAGGAGAGCGAGATGGTGAAAGCAAACTATGTTTCTTTGAATTCCATTTCTTTTGACTATTGAGCTACTGGAATTTTACATTACATGTTTCTTATTTTATAATTAGGTACAAAACACCAAAAACATTCACATCAATCAAGACGATTGAAGAAGAGAAAAGCAAGTGAACTTGAGAAGGGAAAGATTGATAAGGCACTTGGAAAAGCCCCTATTCCAAGGGATTGGAATACAGCTAATGTTCACCAAGTGTCTTCTCCCGTTAGACAAGTGAAAAAGAAGCAAAAGTCAAGGTTAAGAGTCTCTAAGTGTAATCATTGTGGTAAGTGGCATTCAGGAGAATGTCGGAGGGCTTTAGGAGTGTGTTTCAGGTGTGGTTCTAACAGTCATATCATAAGAAGCTGTCCTGTGATGAGGGGTGCTACCAGTGTACCGTCTAAGAGGATGACTGCTACCTCTGTTCCCTCTGAGAAGCCTACTCCAACAATTCAGCAAGATGGTGACGTTGGTATGTTAGAAAGCGAGATGGTGAAAGCAAACTTTGTTTCTGTGAATTCCATTTCTTTTGACTATTGAGCTACTGGAATTTTACATCATATGTTTCTTCTTTTATAATTAGGTATGAGTGTTACCTCTGTACCTTCTGAGAGGTCTACTCCAACAACTCAGCAAAATGGCGATGTTGGTATGTACGAGAGCATGATGGTGAAAACAAACTATGTTTCTGTGAATTCCATATTTTTTATTATTGATCTACTGGAATTTTACATTACATTGTTCTTTTATAATTAGGGACGAGTGCTACCTCCGTACCATCTGAGAGGCCAAATGCTGGAGGGTTAGTAGGGGGATCATCAGTGCCCAAGTGTGATTATTGTGGTAGCAGGCATTCTGGAGAATGTTGGAGGATGTTAGGAGCATGTTTCAAGTGTGGGTCTAAAGATCATTTCTTTAGATTTTGTCCTGGGAGGATTAGTGCGACCTCTGTACCCTCTGAGAGTCCTATTCTTACTACTCAGAGAGGTATGAGTCCTGGTAACAGTGGTAATACAGGGGGAAAGCAGAGAGTTGCGAAGGAAGAAAAACCTGTTCATTCCATTGATGATATAGGTTTCATTCATCAATCCAATGCTGATCCTGTCCTAAATTCTTATCAACCTCAACAAAACTTTCATCACCAGAGTGCTCCTCACCAGTTTGCCGGCAATGCTATTGGATCCACTTCAACAATGGTAAGATCATTGCCTTACAGACCTTATACGGATCCACGGGCAGTACCTACTTCAACAAAACCTGTTCATTCCACTGATGATGTAGGTGTCATTCATCACTCCAATGCCAATCTCGTCCTAAATTCTTATCGACCTCAACAAAACTTTCATCACCAGAGTTCACCTCACCAGTTTGCCGGCAATGATATTGGATCCACTTCAAGAATGGTAAGATCATTGCCTTACAGACCTTGTATGGATCCACGGACAATACCTGGAACAAAACCTGGTCATTCAACTCATGATTTAGGTCTAATTTGTCATTCCAATGCCGATCCCTTCCTAAATTCTTATCAACTTCAACAAAATTTTCATCACCAGAGTGCACCTCAACAGTTAGCCGGCAATGATATTGGATCCATGGAACGATCATTGCCTTACCGACCTTATATGGATCCATGGACAATACCTTCACAATATCAGGGGTTCAGCAATCACAATTACACCCACCATTACAACTCAAATCCTGACTTTTGCAATAGATGAGAGAATTTGATCCATTCTCCCTATGTGATGAAGTTGACAAGCTCTTGTAAAATAACATTCTGCAGCGAAGGCATAATAATGGATTGAAAAATAAAACATTTTCACTCTGTTTTCATTAGGATGTTACACTGCAGGATTAAGAGCCCCAAGTTATCCTCTCAGCATGGAAACCATATATTTTAGAAAACCGAACTTCTGCGCTTTCATAAACTCAGCATGGAAATTCTCAGATGATATACTTTGTTCACACCTGGCACTCTTGAATATAGGGCCAAAATTTGCTTCTGTCGAAATTTTACGGCAAAATTGGTCCAAGGGCTAATTATTAGCCTAATACAACACAAAATAAATTATTTGGGAATTTACTGCATTTGTTACAGTGGTTTGAAATTTGTCTCGTTGACGTGATAAATTTCAATAAAATATATTTTTTATTAAAAAAATTTACTTCGATGTGATAAATTATAATAGTAAAAAGATATTTTATTGAAATTTGTCACGTCGTCACGTTGATAAGACGAGTTTGAATAAAAAATTATTATTTAAATAAATTTATTACGTCGACGTGATAAATTTGTTTTACACTAACATTTATTATAGATTATAAAATAAATTTTGAAATGACCTATTGGACCAATTAATTTTTTCACTTGACTTAATGGGCCAATTAATTTTTCCACGTGTCGTAATGGGCAAAAATATATATATATTACAGTGTATAGTTTGTGGATTTGTTAGACGGAGAGTTGGGTTACTCGTACCAAAGATTAGGCATTGATAGTAGGTTCTTTTTGCCCAATAGGGCAAAGAGAAAATATTTACTACAATAGGATATGCAAAAGTTTATTTTGCATCTAAGACAATTGCTATAGTACTCATGGAATTGTTCTCTTGAGGTGACGAGTTTTCTTGGAAAAAATATTTTATTTGTTATGTTCATATTTAATTATTTTTCTTAGAACTTGTCATGTCGAGGTGACGAGCTTTATTAAAGTAATATTTTTTTGGATTTGATTTTTTTAAATTTAAAAAAATAATGGAACTTGTCACCTCGACATTATGAGTTCTTTTAAGTAGTCATTTGTAGCCGTTAGTCAATAATAGAATTTTGAATTTATGGAACTCGTCACGCCCACATGACGAGTTCAAATGGTCATTTTGATAAATTTTCAATATAAATAGGAGTGGGGTGAGTTGATAGAGTTTATATGAGAATTAAATCATGCATTTGTCGGAAGAATATTGTAAAAAAAATTGAATGGTCTATTTCTATCTGATTACTCTGACTTCGACGATTTGAATTAAAGCTCGCCTTCAGATAATGAGTGGGTAAAAGAGGCAATAAAGTCGATACCTGATCAACACAATAGGAGAAGGAAACTTGAAAAAGTGAATAAGGAGATGAAAATCGAGAAGAAGAAGAAGAAGAAGTAGAAGAAGTAGAAGAAGAAGAAGAAGAAGAAGAAGAAGAAGAAGAATAAGAAGAATACAAAAAGAAAAATGAAGACGTACCAATCCAACACAACTCACGACTTATAGAGAGAAATGAAAAAAATAGTGTAAAAATTGGGAGGAAAAAGAAGAGGAAAAATTATTTTTTATGTTGAGAAAATGTTTTAAATATATGTATGAATTTGTGTTTAGTTAAAATTTATTTATGAATAGTTTACAATTATATATGAAAAGTTAAAAAATAAAGATGAGTAATGATATTTGTGAACTATCCAAAAAAGGTATAACAAACAATATGAGAATATAATTGCGAAGGTTTTATCGACCCAATCGATATTTTGGAAGATGTGGACAGTGCTTTCTATTATAACCTTCACCTCTGCAGTGACGAAAAAACTTTGACAGTCTTTGCTCTCATTGAGAATCATCCACATCAATATGAATTCGACTAGATTCAGGACAACCGTTTAACTTCCTTCGTAATTATGATTTGGCAACCGTTTTTTAGAAATTGTTGATGGCCAATAAGCATCGTTTGAAAGATACTTAAACTCATAATTGTATATGTTGCATATAGTATGCATGTTATAACAATCATCATCATAAGAGTATGGGCCTACATTAACATGCATACATACAGTAATAACGGGGCGCATGAGTATCTAAAAGCTTGAAATCGACCACAATCACATCATCTTCTATTGAGATTACCTGTGTACATGGTAGAATTTTGACTCTCATGTGGTCGAACAAGTGCTTGGACATTGTAATTAAAATCGAGTCTGACAAAATTATGAACAAACATTGATGTTGTATGTGTGATTTTTGTCAATTGCCTTCTCCAAATCTAGAGCCCAATTTCTACCATCATTTATCGTTGCCTCTATTTGTGCACCTTTGTCTGCCTAAACTTTACTAATCTGAAGTAAGTCACCAGGACAATACTTGCTACCAGAAGATGTCTCGTTCCTTTAAGCACTGATTTGATATATTCGACAAGATTGGTTGTTATATGATCGTAACGTCGTCACTGATCATCATATGCATGTGGCTATCTTTCCCGATGTATTTTAGATGCAAAGTTATAAACATCTTCTCCATATTTCCTTAGATTTTCCAACTTTGCACAAATGTTCGATTGTTGTAAAGCATATCCTAAAAAAAAGTTGGATTTAAGAATAATAATAAATGAAAAACATAAATGAGACAAAAATCATGAATGGAAAAAAAATTACTATTGTTGATAATCTCTTTTTTGATCTTCCTGCTCTTAAACATCGTCATAACATTGAAAGTAATACGATGTATGTAATATGTCAGATATGCATGGGGAGGTGACCATTCACTTCTCAGTCTATAAATCATGGCTAACAACATGGCAACACAAATTTGAGAGAGAGAAATTCCATGTTTCCTTTGACTCATTTTAAACAATGACAAAGACAATGGGGAAAATGTTTCTATCACCAGCTTGTGCAACAACAATCATCAAGATGTGTTTGTATATGTCATACAGAAAAGTCCATCCACTTGAACCATTTGTTTGCAATAACAAAAACCTTCAATGGATGACTTGAAAGCCTAGAACAAGCCTCTGAAAACTCTCTTCCCTGGGATAACTTGTCCACCAAACGTGGTTGCAGGATGAATATAAGATCGAACAATGATTCCAGGGATGAAAAATTCCATTGCGTGTAAGATACCAATCACTTTACAGTAGTGCATAGTTTTTTTTTCGCCATCCAGGACTTGTAGTAAGACGGAATATAACCAAATGTATTCCGGATTGATGTAATTATCATTGAAACTGAGATCCTTGGATTTTTATCCACCAAAAGCTTGACGTATGAATATATGATGTCAGAATATAAGTGTTTGGATCTTGTGTCAATTGGCTTAATTTCCCACAACATCATTCGTTGTAAGTAAGAAACATATATCCTCCACTTACAACCAATATTGTGGTTTATGCACTTGACAAAATATGTCTTTCGATCAGACTCCACAACATGGAATTCTATATGAGATTTGATACAAAACTCCTTGACTTCTAGTTGGCCATCCTTTTTAGTTTCAAACTGGGATTAAACTATCAACTCCGTTTATATGTTGTCGGAGGTACCCCAATGGGCTGCACATATATCAAACATATCAGGAATCTCAGGATTCCTCATGGCATCATAGTTTATTTCATGCATTGCAACTAGATGATAATATTGAGATATTTGGGGTTGAGGCATTTGTTATTGAGTGGGTGTTGGTGAACGTGCCCAACCTCGCGAAGCATTTTGTAATACATGACCATGTGAAACCGTTGCCTCCCAAAAATCACCCTCAATATCAAAACCTTGTCCCTCTAAAGCAGCCTCGATGATATTAGAATCATCAATTATTGGTGTGTCATCGTCTATCATCATTGGAAAAAAAGTTTCATCATCATCGCTAAACTCATCAAGGCTTTCACTGAATCGCCTAACAAGGTTATAATCTATTTATGGTCCCACCTTTTTAGTGACGGGTGCAGTTGTTGATAAGTTAGGAAGATTTGCAACATTTGTCGTTTCATCATATATCTTGATCATTTGATTATTTGAAGATTGATACAGTCCAACCATCACAATAACATCGTCATCATCCTCAAGCTAGATAGCTTCGTATGTAAGTAAAGTCTCTGAAATTATGTGTCGATAATGTTGGGATTTTTGAAGCTCAATTTGATCAACCAAAAATTTGCACAATGGGTGAATTGGTAAAAAAAAATTAAGAAGTAAGGAGAATAAAAGATAGAAAAATTGGCACATCGATTTATTGTGGTTCGACTACTCAACTAAGTCTACCTTAACTCCTCACTAAGGATTTTCCAACAAATTCACTAATTTGTTATGTCTTTTTCAAGGACAAAGAGACAACATTTACAAGAGAAAAGAAGTGTAAACAAAGAAAACCTCTAAAAGGTAGGGTGTTTACAAAATAAAGCTCACAAGAATAAATTATTTACAATAGAATAGAATAAAGAGTGAAAAGCTCTTCTCTTGTGTTTGATTGCTTGGATAGGTGTTATAACCCTTCTTCAAGTGTCTTGAACTTGTATTTATATGTTAGACTGAGTTTGTGGTTGTTTCTAGCCGTTGGGAGTGATTTGGAGCCGTTGGGGATGTTTTTCTCTGCAAAATAAAATTGCCCAGTATATAGGGTATCGGTACTCCTATAGGGAGTATCGGTACTACCTTTGTTATTTTAAAATAAAACTAGCTGTTACTAGCTGTTGGGTCTGATGGTATCGATACTAAGCCTATGGTATCGATACTACTATGTAAAGTAGTATCGATACCTCTTTGGGCATCGATACCATTTTTGCATTCTGGAATTTAAGCAATGCTGGTAGTATCAATACTACTTAGTGAGTATCGATACTTCCCTTACCTAAGGTATCGGTACCATATGAACATTATCGATACTGTTCATGAATTATCGATACTGTAAGAACAATATCGGTATTTATTGTTCAGAAATGTATTTTGTGGTCAATTCCAAGTAAAATGGGCTTTGAATTATTTTTGAAAACTTTGAATAAATTCAATTCAAGTCCAAAAATATTTTGCCATAAATTGTTATATCAAAACATAGTTCAACAAATAACTTAAACATGAAATAGAAACTCCA